GTGAATGAAATGAGGGGGATCAGGTCATGCTAACTTCATGCTGCTGCTCAATGAACATGCGCCTCCTGATACAGATGCAATAACACAGCACGTGCTATGGAAAAGGACGAGTACAGGTAACTCTCAATTAAACATTTTGGAGTGAAGTGAATGGTCAATTTACAGCTTATATTTAGCACAACATAATCGGCAAAAAGTGATCACAGATAAACGCCATATTTTACTGGACTGGCTGATGTCCACTACACTGCCACTGTACTATAGAATAAATAGATGAAGATTGTGAATCTTCAGGCAGCCAACTAAAAGAACAAGCAAACAAGAGCATAACACCATAATAACGAGTTAGGTGCTGCAATATACCTTCCTATACTATAATGTAATGTGGTCGCGAGATTGAGGGAAAGAAGCTGTGACTTGAAAGACTTTGTTACTTTCACCCCATCCACAAGTAGGTGCAGGTTGTTGTTTAAGGATACTGTCCAGCTTTTGCACAGGTAGCGCTCTAATGAAGAGTAAATGTTTATTGACAAATAAACCAAATCAATCACGCGTTTTATTTATAGACTAGCTGGATACCAGGCGTTGCCCGGGAAAATCAGTGGCGTTACTCAGTTGGTGACCGCTTGGTTGAAAGGAAAATACCCAAAAAAATCTAACTATCTATCTATCCATACATCCATCCATGCATCCCATTCCATGCCATGCCATCCCATGCCATCCCATCCCATCTCATTGCATCTCATGCCATGCCATGCCATCCCATCCCATCCCATCGCACCGCATCCCATCCCATCCCATGCCATCGCATGCCATCCTATGCCATCCCAAACAGTAAAAAATAAGAAGAAATCAAAAGATAATATACATTAAATATAAAAACTCGATTTTGGGTCCTCTGTTATTTCTGATTTATATTAATGACATGGCAAAGGCAGTTAACGTCAAGCTTTTATTATATGCTGACAATTCGGCCTTAGTAGTTACAGGGACAGAGGTACAGGCTATACAGGAAGAATTAAGTAGAGAATTGCATTCCATTAATAAATGGCTCAATGATAATAATTTATCCTTGCATCTTGGAAAAACTGAAAGTATTATTTTTGGAACTAAACACAAACTCAGGGATATTCGAGACATTAAGATACGGCTGGCGTACCTCCAGCCACTGCGTTATAATTTACAGCCACAGCCACAGTAGTCAGCGTGAGAAACTAGCGGTCGCCCAGTCGCCAGTAACGATTAGAAAATCGACCGGGCGACTGCTTGCTCGTGTCAGCTGGTCCGGCGGGGCGACTAGATAATCGCCGCACAGGAAATAAAAAATTTACCAAACTGTCAGATTATTTTGTTATTCTCTACTAACCTTCACATTATTCTAATGAAATTAATGGTAAATTTAATCAAATATAAAAAAATAAGTCAAATTCTGAAGCCTAAAGTCCATGCGAAGTACGCAAGAGGTTGAAAGCTTGCTTCGTCGCTCAAGTGACGTCACGTCCGTACGGACTCAAACTCCTGTTTTAAGGTGCATTATGACCCTAACCCTAACCCTAACCCTAACCCTAACCTTAACCCTAACTCTAAAAAATAACCCTAACCCTATTAAAAACAAAATTAATTCAGTTTTGTACAGTCGAAACTGTGACGTATGTCGGACGTATGTGAGCGAGGAAACAAGCTTTCAACCTTTTGCGCGAATACACAAATGTTTGTTGTGTTCGATTTTCTAGGTCATGCTGTTAAACCTCTGCTAATTCGATAATACTGGGCATCCCGACCAATCAGCGATCGCGTAATAAAATATGATAATTTATAGGAATAATGGACGGTCTTCAGAGACCGCTGATCTTTGAAACCGACTTGCGGACTTGTTCCGATTTACTACGCATCAGTGTATCGAAACGAGTAAAAAATATAATTTTTAAGAATACCTTAGAATGCACATCACCAAATTGCACCATCCCCCCTATAAAAACGTCCCCACATCCGAGTCATTCACTTTGCTATGATAGAATTCCTGGACCAGTGCCTACTGACTAGGACCAGTGCTTCCTCAGAGTCACTGGTCCTGCCGGACCAGTGCCTCCAATTATCAGTTTTTCACCCTGGTAGTCCGCAAAGGCGCAAATCCACTTTTAATATAGGCACCTTATGTATCACGAAGTGATGCACAGATTTCTGTGTATCATCAACTGATGCGCAAACTTTCAGTATATCAAGGAATGATGCAAAAACCCTAACCCTATAATTGAAATTAGGCATAAGAAAAGTTTGTATCATCTTGTGAAAATGTACCATTGTATGACCGATTAAAACTACAAATCTGTATATTTCAATAGTTTGTTCTGATAGTAGTACAATTGTTAGATTCAATTAAGGCATAGCAAAACAAGGACCACAATGTAAATAAGTGTGCTAGTCATGCTTTTTGTGTATATATCCTTGGTAATTATCCAATTTTATGAATTCAAATTTTTATTGTAAAAGTACGCAATGTATTGTATATGATGGATAATTGCCTAAATAAATAAAAAAAATAAATAAATACGTTCCGGCAGTACCCTGGGGGACATAGACCCTATGAGCTAATCTGTGTGTCAACAAACCCGGGCCGTGGTAACGAGAAACGTTATTAATTTTCTACCACGCTGCAAAAGAAAGAATGGTTGTGCTTGGTAACCAGCTACGCTTGATTGTGTCTCTGACATCAACAATACATGTGCATTTAAATAGCTGTGGGCCACTGTACAGGTGCCTGGGCAATGACAGGGGTAGAAATTAAATTTTGAACACGGGAGTCCAACGGAGTCTAAAAGAGGGAGTCTGCAGCAAAATGAGGGAGTCCGCAGTCTGAATTTCAAAACGAAAGATATAAACAATAACGCATGTGCTTATTTTGAAGATTCATGCGGTTGCACATCTGCCTAATTTTCTTTGCACATATGCTGAAAAAATACGGTAATTCCACGAGGCCATGCTCTGGAACAAACTAGTTAGTATAGCAGAATTTTCAGGGAGTCACACGGACTCCTGCATATGTCAAATCAGGGAGTCCGACAGTAAATCAGGGAGTATTTGACTCCGGACTTCCGTTAATTTCGCACCCTGCAATGAGAAGACTCTGAAAGTTCACATGCATCACTACATATGATATGGAGAAATGAGTGTGTACAGTAACAGAGGTGGCACCTAGTGTTAGCGATCGCATAAGAACGAAAACAAAAAATTGATGAAATTTCGCAGATAAGCTCCAATGTGGCAATTCGGCAACTTTGCAATTCTTTGCAACTTGCAAAACTTTGCAATTAGGCAATTTGGCAATTCTGGCAACGACATTAACTTCAATTTCTTAGAGTACACTCTAGGCCTACACTGCAGATTGGAATCACACCGGAGAAGTGTTTAAATTTTGCAAGGTTGTTTTTGCAGGGATTTGGCAAGGTTTTTTTTTAGTCCGGCGCAACACCACATGGGGTCACATTATGACAGATGTTTGATAATATTCTATCTGAATAAGTGAATTGCTGAGGATGGATGGCCTGCTAGTGATGCTCATAGTCATAGGGTCTATGTCCCCCAGGGTACTGCCGGAACGTACCCTGGGTACGGTCCGGTATACGGTAACGTACCCTGGTAACTATCTAGCTGATATGGTTATGGATATGGTTAGGGTTAGGGTTAGGGTTAGGGAATAGGCGTAGGTGACTCCCTAGACTCGTTAGTGGAGTAGGCGTAAACCAATAAATTGTGCCCTAAAAAATTTTATGTTCTGATGTTATTTTAGGGCCCAATAGCCTTCCATAGACAAAACCTGTGAATTCTGTCGTGCAAAATGCACGACAACCTTTTTACTATTTATGGCCGTGTTACATAAACAATCAAAGAAATACCTAAAGCAGTCACTTTATTAACATCTTACTTACATTCCAAAACACTTGTCATGCAGTATTCTCCTCTTTAATCCCGTTTATTTTATTAAAACATCACGACATAAAAATTACGCAAACTTCGCTACACACAAAACTGCCAATCTTGCATTGAACCACACAGGAAAACGTCACAGCGATGATTTCATTGGCCGGTGAGAAATGTCGTTGTGCGGTTCAATACAAGATTGGCAGTTTTGTGTGTAGTGAAGTTTGCGTGATTTTTATGTCGTGATGTTTTAATAATTAAATGTGATTAAAGAAGAGAATACTGCATGGCAAGTGTTTTGTAATGTAGGTAACATGTTAATAAAGCGACGGCTTTAGGTATTTCTTTGATTTTCTATGTAACACGGCCGTAAATAGTGAAAAGGTTGTCGTGCATTTTGCATGACAGAATTCACAGGTTTTGTCTATGGAAGGCTATTGCCAGTATTGGGCCCAGTATTGGGCCCAATTGGGCCCAGTATTGGGCCCAGTATAACATCAGAATATAACAATTTTTAGGGCAAAATTTATTGTTCTATGTCCCATGTCTATGTCTATGTCAATTACCCAGTACCCGTACCCAGGGTACGTTCCGGCAGTAACCTGGGGGACATAGACACCATCAGCGCTATTGATAGTGCTAAATAATTAATGGGCGCGCCGCGAAGCCGAGGAGTCGACCATAGCCGGATGTACGCTCAGAAACGAATTTTTGCAATTCAGGAACATATAAAACTAAGTCTACGAATATAAAAGCATCGCCAAGCTCTCACAGACCGGTATTGGAATAATTTATGCTCGGAGCTCTTAGTCACTTACCCTTTTCCACAAGTTTTAGCCGAACTACCGCTGTTGTTCCTGTCTTAACAACACTGTCAACAGCAAGTTGCACAACAAGACGTACAAGACGGGTCCCCGTCATTAATTCCAATTTTACACGGTCATAATCTTTCCGACTAGTGAAGGACACGGGAGCCATCTAATAAAGACACCGACAGGGGGAGCGGCACACTGTTTCAATTCACATTCCACGAAGTGAACATCGCAAGAGCTGTGGGCATCAGCAGACGATTGCTAAGGACAGACGATTTTTACACTTTACAAATTACAGGACAGAAGGTTAGGTGTGTATTTTTATCTAGTAGTAGTAGTGGTCACATGCTTCTTAAAATCCTTTGCAGTAGCACTGTCTGAGAAATATTTTGTAATTCGAAGTAAAGCGTATCTCAACGTAAAGTACGAAAGTAGTAGTAGTACTACCAAAGATGTTAAAACCAATTGGTTTTAACATCTTTGGTACTACTACTAGTATTTACGGTAGTAGGATATAGTAACTAGTAGTAGTACAGTGCTACTACTACTACTACTAGTAGCACTGTACTAGTTTACTGTAGTAGTTACTATACTACCGTAAATACTAGTACTACTACTACTTTCGTACTTTACGTTGAGATACGCTTTACTTCGAATTACAAAATATTTCTAGTACTAGTAATGGTTCTAGTACTAGTACTAGCACTACTAGTTGGCCTACTACTATACTACTAGTAGTACTACTACTATGCCTACTACTACTATGCCTACTACTACTATGCCTAGACCTACTATACTAGTACTACTACGCCTAGTACTAGTAAGTAGTAGTACTAGTAGTAGTAGGCAGAAAACAACACAAGTTACAACGACAGAAACGAGACATGTGAGTAAATTTAATTGAAAATCCACCTACCAAGTGCACAAGTGGTAGGTACTGTAGCCTGTAGGGACGGTGTCTAAACTAATTATGACCTAGTAAAATTAATGGCGAAATTAATCATTACTAGTAGACTCAAAAGACTGTAGTAGTAATCGATTTTTGGGGTATGGCATGTTTTGTGACTGCCTATTGATAGTATTTTTTATTTTATTATTAATAATATTGTTATTCCTCTGATAATCATATTAATAATTCCTCAACTACTTGGGCAACAATGCAGAGTATAAAAATTCATGTAAATTGGGAAAGTGTGGTTGATACTGATAGTCCATTAGTAATTTACTAGACCACAATAATTTTTCTTGTCTACCATCAATCATCAATGCATCATACACCCATCCTAGAATGTCCAATAGTGAAGATAGAGTCGTAGACAGACCTACTAATTATAAAAGCAAAAAATGTACTGCTATAAATCGACATGAATGGTGCAGCCCAGGTGACGACCTTTAATGCTTTATCACAAAGTTTATGTATATAAAATATACGCCATCTAGGCATATCCATCTTATTATATAGATACTTGGAACATTATAATTATGATATTTCAATACATGGATGTTGTTTTCTGATTTGAATGCTGCCAATTTTGCATTAATTTAATTGCTCCTATGCAATTTTGACTTGCAGAAGTAGACAGCACGGCAAAGGCAAATTTCTGCTAGACATGAGCGAATCAATGGGAAATGCCAGTATAAACTGTCATGCAACACGTGCCAGTAAATTCATTACTCAGATGGCAAGCACTGCAGAGCCAAACTGTAAAGTAACTGGTAAACGTTCGTGGCAGAAAAGTTTGCTAGCATCTGCTGCTGGGGTTGTTGGGTTGTTTGGAGAATCCAAATGTGAAGCATTACAGACTACTCATGAGCATGTTACATGCTTGTTAAATACCAACTGTAACACTACACATCCGCGACCAAGGCGATGGCATCAAACAGAAAATAAAAGGCCGAGTCATCATAGCAGTGCAATCTCGCCCTGTTCGAACGTCTTTGAGCCTGAAACAAGTGACTGCATATGTCTGTCTAGTGCTGGAAATATAAAGAAACTGAGAACAGGATCATATAATCACAACACACATCTCCTAGTGACAACCAAAGAACTAACTGCATACCTATACCTGTTGGGTATGTTTCATCTGTTACTGATATTTGAATATTTTTTCTTCTTTTGAGATCTTTACATAGCCTACATTCCTTTTATTGTCCCTTTACCAATAGATAATGTTATAACCAGTGTTCCCTCTAATCTGTGCATGTGTGCGCATGCACACACGTTTTGCAACCAGCACACAAAGGAAATTAATGTGCGCACAAAATGTTAGTTACCTAAAATAATGTAGTAATTAATAATTGATGTTTTATTTAATGGAACAACAAACCGAACTAAGTAGTTAAAAGTAAGAATAACGTTACTTCGTAGAATGCAATCATATTTGTATTATATTAAAACATGCCAATACAGTTGTATTAGCCATGAGAGATAGGCTGTGCCAAAATTATCTTGAAACAATTTCAAGTTTACATTTGCACAACCATTCAGTGTGCACTGCGCACATACTTTTGGCACGGGAAATTTTTTTTCACAACATGAGATTTTTTCGTGCACTGTATGACTACTAATAATTAGAGGAAACGTTGGTTATAACCCTACAAATGTTTGATATATGAGCTTCTTCTAAATGTATTGTAGCCGTCAGGTAGTGGGTGGGCAGCAGAGATGCTCCCCTACTAAAAAATTAGAATAACGAAGTAGAATTTGTCAAATGAATGCATATAACCTTGAAATACATATAATAAATACTAACAAGAGAGAAGTATTCCCTTGTCATCATACTCAGTTATTAGTCTTATGACATAAAATTGTGGTCCCATAAGACATTGCTGATTATACTAGGTATATATGTATGGCCCTTTTAAGCCTTGTACATAGTTATTATTGATATACAATACTGCTTGCTTCACCTATATTCCATCTTAAGAATTTATGTCTACTATACCAATAGGATTGGATGTAAACTAAAGGTGCAACTGCATTGTTTGTGGCTGACCTTAAGACAACGCCTGTGTGCCTGCTGAGAGTTATGTTAATGGCTAAATATCTTGTGTACTGCTTTAAATTTGTATCATTACCAAACACTGTTTGGGCATGCAAGTTCAATTTCTATTTCTATTATATTATGCAGAAGAGCCAGTGATAAAGCGCTTCTTAGAAGCAGACCGCTGCTTAAAGGTTTCAGATAAGGTACAAACATTATAGCTGAGAGGGTCTATGTCCCCCAGGGTACTGCCGGAACGTACCCTGGGTACGGTCCGGTATACCGGAACGTACCCTGGTACTAAATACTACTATCTAATATGCCGGACCGTACCTCGCCTACTCCATTAACGATTCTAGGGAGTCGCCTACGCCTACTCCCTAACCCTAACCCTAACCATATCAGCTAGATAGTTACCAGAGTACGTTCCGGCAGTACCCTGGGGAACATAGAGAAGCAGACCCTATGACTATGAGCCCTACTATACTTTATATGCCAAGTGTCAATGGAAACACGTCTGTTTCATATCAAGTCAAAATGCACGTATGTGATTAGCCACAACTGCACAAGTTCCCTTCTCGCTTAACACTACGTTGGCGAGAGGGTCACAAGCCGACGCAATAGAATATTGTTCGGCATGACGTGCGCTGCTATTAAACGTAAAATGTTCTAACTTTTTATAATTCTTACTGCTTCTCTGTACTTCCACGCCTCGATTTATTATATGTGCGCTATCACTGAGCATGTATTTACGTGTCAGCGAGTAATTATTTATAAATTGATTTAAGATAAAACTAAAAAAATGCCGCCATTTTCCCATAGATATCCCATCAATAACGTAGCGAAAAATACAAGTACAAACAGTACAAAAAGAGACATAAGAACATCCAGAATGGTGTTTGTCACAAACGTTCAAAAGTAAAGCTGTTTGAAATGATCTTATTTTAACGTGTAGTACTAGCCATACCCGTCCATTCCCGTTAAAAACTAAAAAAATAATAATGAAAAAATATTTAAAAAATAATATTAACACATATAAGATCTGATAGGTGGCGTCGTGTTTTCGTGTTGTTGTGACGTTGCCATGCAAAAATTTCCCACTATCTTAATGTTTTTGAACGTGGAATGTGAAAAAAATGAAACTGAAAAGAAAAAAAATAGCCCATGCAACGTGTCATGATCTGTAGAATGTTCCGACCAAGTTTGGAGAGGATCCGTTGAGCGGTGCGGAAACGTATATAGCCGGACACACATACACACACAGAAAATCTCCAATTTATAGTAAGACTTCGAGGTAAATACTAATAGTAATTAAGAAGTGTAGCGATAGTTGCAACATGTAACAGGTGAGGTCAAATGTGGTAATACGATTGTTTTATTTACGAAATTTTTACGAAATTCGGAGTTTGTTTTCAAGCAACCAGGCATTTCGTATGGAAGGGTGTCAGGCTCCTACGCCGTGTAACAGTCGGAGAGCCTGGTCGGTTTACTACGTGATGTAATTACCCAAAGTGTATTGCCTCCAAATAACTCTGTGCGACTGTACAAACAGATTATTCTAGACTGGTGATGCTTCTTTAGGTGAAATATGAACATGAGAAGTAAGGCCAAAACAAAATATAGGTGTGGTTACGGTTTCCGGACCAACCCTATTTATTCCCAGCGACCCTAAACATTTTATTGTCAATTATCTTTAAAGTCAAAAAAAAATTTTAAAAATTAAAAAATTAAAAAATATGAATAAGACAGTTCCTGCTTCAAAAGGCACAACGCACATCCTTCGGACATGGTTCGTAAATAAAATATTTCAAGAAAATAAAATGTTTTCCCTACCTACCTACCCTATTTTTTTGTGGCATGTAACGGTAACCACACA